TAAAGTGCAGCCAACCTGCAGACGATTAGCTAATTAATGCTAATGATTCATAGCAGTACCGATTACTGTAAACTACAAGCTGCTAGGGTGAGCGCGAACACTGCAATGAATAGCTAATTAGCCATCTAGAATCTATTGTTCAGCATAAGGTTCTGTCCGGTTCCCCTCAACGAGAATTTGTGTGCCCTAAATGACAATCTACCCAGTTTTTAATGACAAATCGTATTTTTGTTTTGCTCACATTTTCAAGGTGGCAACTGCTGGACAAACCATTAAGCATTGAACAGTTCAATGCAATGCCCAAAGTGACGGAAAGCTTTTTCGAGTACAACCNAGTACCGATTACTGTAAACTACAAGCTGCTAGGGTGAGCGCGAACACTGCAATGAATAGCTAATTAGCCATCTAGAATCTATTGTTCAGCATAAGGTTCTGTCCGGTTCCCCTCAACGAGAATTTGTGTGCCCTAAATGACAATCTACCCAGTTTTTAATGACAAATCGTATTTTTGTTTTGCTCACATTTTCAAGGTGGCAACTGCTGGACAAACCATTAAGCATTGAACAGTTCAATGCAATGCCCAAAGTGACGGAAAGCTTTTTCGAGTACAACCTCAGCATTCGCTCCAAAATGCAAAGCCCACTGCAGTTTCGCATCTCCACCGAGATCAAATGTGGCAGTCACGAGGCGATGCGATACAAGTACAAGTTCTATCCAGCTCATGAGGTCGAAAACTCCTCATTAAACCATTACGTTTTCTGTCAGCTGAAAGAGGACCGCCTCGTTGGCTCCTTTATGATATCACCTCCACTTGAAGGGCGTTTCCTTCTTAAGGTAAGTGTTTAGTGATAATCAGTCTAATAAAGCTATGAGGTTTCTGAACTCACTTTATCTTCCGAGCAGGTCTTTGCCAAACCGGAACGGGAAATGCACGGCAGTCAGCAGGACATATCGGCCAATCTGAACCCGGTGATCACCTTTCTGGTGGAGTGCACCAAAGCACGTAAATACATCGAGCCACTGCCAATCAGTGAACTGCCCTGGGGTCCGACACAGCGCTTTTATGACTACAAGCTAAAGCTGGTCAACCAAAAGGGCCCAACCATTGTTACTTGGGGCGGCAGGAGGCGACTGGTGCTGGAAGCCAATGAGACGATGCTTCTCAGTTACACCCTCTTTGACGCCGAATCAATGGAGATGGACGCGAGGAGCATTATAAGCCGTGATGATGTCGCCTTCAAGACCACCCTCACCATCAATCCGCCTAGAGTGGGCACGTTTAAGTTGCTGCTCTTTGGAATGCCCAAACCGAAGCAAAAGGGAAAGTGGCGACTACCACTGCTGGCCACCTTTCTGATAGACTGCAAACTGATCAAACCACCGCAGCACGACGAAGACATGGTCATGCCGATTGTCCAAAACGCACCTTCGTCTGATGATGGAAAGAGTGACAAGAGGAAACGGTAGCCGTTGGCAATTTTGTAAATGCTAACTGTAAATGTAAGAAAGTAATATAAATCAATAAACATTGACACTGAAGTATTCACACTGAAAGACTACGAGTACTTTGCCGCCGTTGTTTCGATTTAAAATACACAAGTACTCACCCGCAAATGACGTTTTGGAATACACTATGGAAAGTTGAAGCTTCACTCTCGGCGTGAGGATTCACTGCAGGATACTCACAGTAGAGCAATGTTTTGATTGCTGCCTTGCAGCGTCTGAACAGTTTGGCCAAATGCGCACGCAGTTTTGCTAACCGTTTTTGTCTACATTCTTTGAGACCACTTTAAAGTTGGTCATTGTGGAATGAGTAGTCAGAATGTACGGGCACAAATCTAATCAGATGGAGCAAGTCATGAACATCAACATGAGCAATCAGTACATGTTTCAAATGGGCAATAGCTCATTTACCAAGGAAGCCCCTCCGTGGAAACCGGTGGGGGTTTTTTGGGACATTGAAAATTGCGCCATTCCACGTGGAACTAGCATCTGCGTCTTGGTGAATAAGATTCGCTCCATCTTTACCATGTACAACTTTCTTGAACGTGAATTCGCAGTCGTCGGTGACGTGTACGGCGTCAATAACCACGTTATCAGCGACCTGAACTCCATGCAGCTGAACTTTATTCACGTGTGCTCGTACGCAAAAAACGCGGGTGATGAGAAGCTAAAGCAAATGATTCATCGCTTTCTCATGATATGGGGTCAAAACTCAGCGATCATCCTGCTCACCAGTAAGTGCCACACACACTTCAGTGACCTCTGATTCTAAACTTCTGACTTTCCTGAACCTGTCCTCTAGGCGACATCAACTTTGCTCCCCTTCTCTCGGACATAGTACATCGCATTGGCTGCTTTGTGATTCTCTTTCACCACACCAAAGTCTCTCCGGCGTTAATCTCTTGCGCACACCTGACGATGAATTTTGACGAGTTTTGCAAGCAGATTCCCTTCGCCCCCTCATTTAGTGAGGAGAATACAGTGGGTAGGAATCACTTTCACTATCATAAAGAGATTCTATTCTAAAATATTTTCTTGCTTTACACTCAAGCTACCTATCTGACAGTCACCAACTGGCCAGTTTATTTCAGCGAAGGCGATTTAAGAGCATTCTTAAATTTGCTTACTGACAACTGTGGGGGACGTATCATCGATGTGGACGTTAATCTGAAAGAAGCTATTATGGTTTTCAGGTGCAAATCAGATGCCGAAAGGTGCGCTCAAAAGGTGATCAACCGACGCTACTTGGGAAATACGCTGAAAGTTAGCACAAGTTATACACGCCCTGCTAAGCTGCGTCAAAACCAAAACCGATCTCAAAAGACGGAACAACCCGTGTCATCTCAACCAGTTCCACTGCTGCAGTCCATTACTGCACCAGAAAAACAGATTCCAAAGTCAACTACCACCTTCCAAGAGGCCAAAATAGCCGATTCGCTTTCATCCAAAAAAAGTTCTCCGAAAACAGTCACATTTGAAAATACCAAAGGCAAGGTTTTAAATAGGAAGAGCAGGAAGAAAATTGCAAACGCACAATATCAAAAGGATCGGCTAACCGCTGAGGATGGTACTATTGAGCGTCTTTTTCAAGTGTTTCAACTTCTTGACATGCTGAACAACCGCCATGAGAATAACTGCGACTGCTTGATATCATTTCCCATTGAATACATCAATGAACATTACAGTCGTATCTTTGGAAAACTTACCAGCGTCTTCAAACCAAAGCATCCAAAAAGTCTTGAAAAAGTACTTGATCAGTTACTGACTCGGCTTTACCAAAAATCAGCCTCCAAATACAGTCTGTTTTTGGTGTACATGTCAAATGAAGTTTACTTGCAGAAATGTGATTCTCACTGGATTGATACACAGGTGGTAATGCTCTTCAAGATTCTCTTTGAAAGTTCTTCACAGTCACTTACCTGGAAGCAATTGATGACCCAATTTCACGATGAGCTTGGCTACAAACTTGGCCCTGGTTGCCTTCGTCATCTTCGTTTTCAAGAAGTTGTGCACTTGGTAAAGGGCAGCCTGAACAACTGTTTAGTCAAATTATCTCCACTTTACGAATTCGCAGCAATGATAATGTCTGTAATGCTAAAACATTCCGACTCGATCTCCACCAAATGGGACACAGACAAGCTTGAGTCTGAATATTACGACCACTTTGGCATTTTCATCAATGTTCCGACGTGTTTTGCTGCTAAAAGCTACAAATCTCTCATTGAGCGAATGGATCTCATTTTTGCAACAAACAAACATGATGCCAGGGATGGATTCTCAGAAATTTGCATCAAGCATCCAGAACTCATTTCGAATTTCAGTGTCAAACACATTCCGACGTGCAACTACTGTGAGAACACCCTAATTGACCAGTTAAATGACAGCGTCAATTCAGACGACATTGAGCTTTTTGAAATGGAAGGTGCTCCCACAGTGAATATGTTTGCCTGTTAACTTTTTCTTTTGGTTTTTGAATTTTTATATTCAGTTTTCCTTTTTGCATACAATCAATATTTTTGTTCAATCACATTTCTTAATTTTTCTTATGTTGACTAAAATTATATAAATAACATTGTACAAAAGCTACATTTTTTGCGAGTGATGCTCAAAGTCAGTTAATCTTTTCTTGTTCACGCTTAAGCTTTCTCATTTCTTCAATCAAAAGATCTCGCTTTAAATCAATCGGCTTATCAAAGCCAAGCATCTTCTTGTACGCGTCAAAGTCTAGCACCAAGTTTGGATCAATGAAAAGGGGCTGCTTTCGTTGGCCAACTGTGTACGTAGTGAATATACCCAGTGCCTCGGGAACTTGGACATCGCTTGCTGTATACGAAGTGGTCACCGGTCTATTGATGATGTTCAGGCGGTGAGCTGTGAAATTTCCCGTTTTGTCATCGTAGTGAAGTTGAGTTACGTATCTCCGAGTGAACCAATTCAAGACTAGCGGAGACATGAATATTCCAGCACATGTGACAGTAGCAAAACCAATGGCCAAAGGGGAACCAGAAGCGACTAACTTTGGATAAAGAAATGGTTGCACGCCGGCAGAGATGAATGTTGTTGATATCGACAGTCGCTTGATCATCTTGATGAGGCGAACCATTGGTTCTGGAGCAGTATAAATTACTCGACCTAACGAGCTATTTGTTGAAGAATGTTCATGCTGATGATCGCCATTTTGTGAGGACATTTTGAAGACAGGTACAAACGTAATCACTTTTGTAAAGCAAGCTTGACCTGACGCAAATCACTTGAAGTTCAAATAAAAAGTTCACATGTGATTTTTAAAAACAAAAATTTCAGCCGATGCCCTCTCTGAAAGTACGTTACACAAAACCGAAACTGAAATTGATTTGAATCTCCTTCACTTGTAAAGAAAAGGACTTTATTTATCCGTTATAATAAAATGAAAAACAAATGGAATATTGTAAAATAATCTTTTGCAGTTCTTCTGTGACAAAGGGCGACTACATCCTACATTTAGCCATCTTCTACGCTTAACGGATAGAAATCAATCCGGATTCAATAAGTTTGTAAATCTTGGTTTGAATATCAGGGTTCTTGAGATGCCTAGAAAGGTTTGAACGTATTCATCAGTACACGTTTTTGTTAACAAAAAATACCACTTACTCTTGCAGTGCTTTCGGGTCACTTTGCATCTGCTCCAGAATAATGCGCATTGCAGGATCAGAGAGGATGCTTTGAATTTCAGGATCAGCCATAGCACGCTTTCGCACCTCGTCAGGATTATCCGATGAACTCAGAGCACACTTTCTGAAACCATCAATTGCTTCCTGAAAAAGAAAAAAGCATTGTCATTCACTGATTAACTTTGTGATTGTAACTTGCCTTGTTGTTCTCATCAAGCTCCAGTGCCTTCTGGAAGGCAGACTGAGCCTTGGACAGCTCTTTGGTAGCCATCAGAGCATAGCCCTTTCGAATGTAGCCTTTCACTAAAATGTGTTGAAATGAAAACAGCATCATTAGATATTTGATGAGTTTATAGCATGCAAATGAAAAACAAATCTTACCAAAAGTGGGCTCAAGTCGGATGCACTCCTCACAGTCTTTTAGAGCCAGGTAAAACTCAGCCAGCTTTTGGTAGCAAGCAGCACGGTTACTGTAGATCTTTGCGTCCTCCGGATTACGCTTGATGGCCTCGGTGTAGTGCTTGATGGCACCAGGGTAGTCGCCCTTTTGAAACAGCTTGTTGCCAAGGTTTTTCTCCTCAAGAGCCTTATCAGGGTCAATGTAGGCTTTTCGTTCAATGTCCTTCAGCTCCTTTTCAACTGCAGACATTTTGGACAGTGTTTCAGGAGTTCGGTGTTCAGTAAGAGATTTTTGGAAGTAAAAAAGAGCGTTCTTCAAATCATCCTTCTTCTGGTAAGCACTGGCCATTCGTGAAAATGCCTTGGCAATAATTTTAAAATCGTTGCGGTTCTCACGACCAACTTCAACCGCTTGCTCACACTGCTTGATGCACTCGTCAAAGTTTCCTTGTTCAAAGTAGACTGCCGCTTTGTTATTTAGAAATGTCATGTCGGTTGGATCCAACTTGAAGGCTTTTTCGTAGCATGCCAAAGCCTCTTCAAACTGGCGCTTCTTGTAAAATTCATTTCCTTCATTTTTCGCAACAAGAGCCTGCAAGTCAGGTAAAGATCAGTAATTGATTACTTGTCGCCTTAAACTCGTACTTTGTCAGTGTGCTTCTGACAGTACTCACCGCTGCTTTGTCGACGTCGCCCATCTTTAGATGATAATTCGGTGGTAGAGACACAGGTTAGACAAAAGGCAATTGAATATTGACAGATGCGGAGAATGGAGAATGAAGAGTGGCTTACAAGCACAAAGCGAGACTGATGATAAGTGAAAAGCGTGCAGCAACACAGTGCGGCTCTCGAAAAATCTTCTTTTAGAGACGTTTTTGTCTGTTACTGGGGGGACATGCCAGATTTCTGCTGCCCACGGTTACACTTTACATCGCTTGCTTGCCGTTTGTCGCGAACTGGGCGGCACAGCACATCATTTTAGAAGAATAAGAAAAAAGGTGCACTTTTCGGCTGATTTTGTACAGTCAAAGTTGAGAACTACTGTAGTACTGCCTGCACAAAGTAGCCGAAAATTTGACTCTTTTATCTTACGTTCCCGACTTGGTGGCAAAATGCCAGCCTTTACTCGAAAAATCCATGTGCGTAGATGCTGTTACACATTTGTGCGACAACTTTCAAATCTTTTCATGTACCCAACTAAATTTAGTCACTTTATAAAAATATTAGCGCGATTCATAATCCAAATTTTGAAAACTGTTTGAGAAACTTTATTTTTCCAAAATTAAGTTAACCCTTAAAGCACTTTTAATAGATTCTTTTGGAAACAAGACATAGCCCCTACTTATTTGTCGTTCACTTCCACCCGTTTTAATACCACAAATACTCTAATACTCCAATTGTGCCAAAGAAAACCGCAGAGAGTCGATAGTGTTAGTTTAAATCACTTTTATTGAGAGGGTTTGGTAGATGAAGTAGGTGTGTAACGAGAAAGAAGAGAGGAATAAGCGATCAAACAACCTGGGAGTTATTGATACAGAAGATAAGAACAAGTAGATACATTTACAGGAGAAGCAGATGTACAAGGGGTGTGGTGTGGTGTGTGGTGTGGCTATGATACAGAGTGTTCTTGGGATGGTTGTGGTCAGCGAGGACCACGAGACGAGCTGCCCCAGCCCAGCTCGCGGCAATGTACAGGTGTGCGGCGCAGTGGTCAGATTTGTACAGAGCAAGTCATGTGTTCCGATAATAAGAAGAGTTATATCATTTATGAGGTGAAGCAAACGAAATTTTACAATCAAAAATGAAAATTACAGAAATGTATATATAAATAATAATGAAAGGTAATGAAAGTAGGAAGATAATAAGAACGGCAATGACAATGAGGAAGGATACTATGTACAGAGTAAAGAGGAGTCAACAATAGTGGGGGTAGATCACGGGTGATTCATTGCGAGTTTTTTCATTCATTTCCAGGTAAAGAGTGTCAAGTGTGCAGGAAACAGCAAATTCATTCAAACAGTGACAAAGTGATGGTTCAAAGTGTGGGAGGGTGTGTGAAGGAGGGGTGCTGTTCGTCGTAGTTACAGATGATCGATTGATGTTCTTAGAAGCCAGGAGGAGTGGGGCCGGTGCCCTGATTGGCCGTAATGACCACCATCAGCTGCGAAATGCCTGCCAGAGAGTGCATTAGGTCAGGTGCAGCGCCCACCAGGTGTTCGTCAGAGAATTGACAGCTAGGAATGATGTGCGTGATGTAGGAGCACTAAAGAGATAACAAATAAAAAATTAATTAACAAAAATGAATCAAAAGAGCAATCTTACAAGTATAACTTACCGTTTGGTCGTTGGTGTTGACGATGCCAGCTGCCTGTTTGCTTTGCATGTAGTTGATGAAAAATAGTTTGAGGTTATTCGACTGGACGAGCACGTCATTATTGTCCCGGCCACATGGCAAAGCTAGCAGTATGCAGAAGTCCTCGTTGGCTTGAATCTTCCTCTCCAGAGCCGACAGCTGAACCTGGTCGAGCCGCATCCTCTGGGTGATTCGAAGCGGCTGCATGTTGATCTCGCTAAACTGTGGCAGTGCCCGGCGGCTGATTTCGCGGTTGCCGCTGACAAAGTGCATCTGCACAGAGACACTATCATTCTTCAGTGCTAGCAGGCCACTCCACAGAATGGGATATTTAGTGACGATCGATTCATTAGAGCTGCTTGGAGCACTGCCCACATTAGCTGGTGGTGGTTGCACTTGTGGGACTGGTTGCACTTGCTGCTGCTCATTTCTCAGAGTCTTCATTGCTGGCGCATCGAGACTGAGACCGGCAACAATGTGCGGGTCAATGTCAGCGGTAGGTGGTCTGCTGACCAATGTCTGTTCAGCTATTGGTGATTCTGATGGCCTGCTCAAGTGTGGGTGAGGTGGTGGGCCCACAGTGGAAGACGTCCTTGACAGCGGCGGCTGCTGCTGGCTCATTTGAGCTGGCATAGTCATGGGCAGTGCACCCCCTCCGGGAGCCATGGCGGCCATTTGAGATCGAATCAACTCGGCAGATGGCTCTTGGACGGTGGGCAAGTCCTTGCGATACGTTGTCGGTATACCGCTTGGAGACGTCATTTGACGATGCATCTGTGAGAGATAGGCGGCTTCAGCCTGGGCAGCCTTCGGTGCAGTTGAGCGTTTCATCGGCTCTGGAGTAGTGGATGTTTGATTTGCACCAGGCTTGGAAAGGTCAGTTGGATTGGGAGCGCCACCGGCAAAGTTGTGCACCGGAACAGGTCCTTGGCCACCCATACCATAAAGTGACTGCATCAGGGTAGCTTCAGGACTGACATATCGATCTGGCTGAGGCATTCCAGTGAAGGGGTAGTGAAGGTGCATTCCACCAGGGAAGTTCATATTGCGCTGACCAATGGGAGGCGGCATCGCAGAGGGATCCAGGTGAAAGGCTGGCTCCACCATGTGATGCTGAGGCGGCTGGTGTTTATGCGGCTCCTCAGCAATTGGCTGCGCTGATCGGTGGTAGCCGTCGTCCTTTTTACCCGAACTAGACTGCTGTTGCTGCTGCTGATGCTGATGTTGAAGCTGCATCTGCTGGAACTTGAGTGGGTTTTTAGTCAGCTCCGCCAAGGCCTGCTCCTGACTGGGGCCGAAAGGATAGTACACTTCTCGTGAAATGGGCTGCAGTGGGTGTCGAGAGAGTGCACTAGGGCCATTTTGGCGCAGTTCCTGTGGTAGTTGTGAGCAGATGCTCGCATAAATCCGCTGCTGTGCGAGCAATTCAGGTGACAAGCCAGTAAAGCCACTTCGAGGCGGGAGCACCGGAGGCTGGCCAGTAGCTGAAGTAACTGGCGGTCGATGGTGAGATGGAAGACCGGCTGCTGCAAAAGCCGCCTGCTGTTGTTGCAACTCCGTAGGGGGAGGCACCAGATGTGGTGGTGGTGCTGGAGAAACAAAGCCGGGTGAACTTCGAGAGTCAGTGGACTTCAACGGCCGACTGCCCGAAGCGGCTTGCTGTGCCTGCACCTGCTGTTGCTTCTGCTGCATGATGTTCAAATGCTGCTGACTGGCTGCCGCATTAGCCATGTACTCTTGCGCCAGCTGATGTGGGTTTGGCGGCATCAAGTGAGGCGGGAATGCACCAAAGTGTGCAGCGATTTCCGGTGGCAGCAAAGGAGCCTGAGGCTGACCCAGGTTTGAAGGTGGAGGTTTGCTGGTCGCCGTTGATTTGCCGATGGGGGTTGACAGGGCATTGATCGGTGCCGTCGAAAGCGCCACTGTTGGCTGGTGAGTCGTCACCACACCGCCCAGTGCGGCGGCATCATTAGCTAAAGCAGGAGGAGTAACTGTCAGCTTGGAGACATGAGCTAGAGGTGGCTGCACGATTCCAGCCGAATCGATAGAAGACTCGGAAAAGGGTGATGGCGTGTGGACGCTGGTGGAAATGGTGCTGGGCACTGTGCACACAGGCGCCTTACTGATAGTCGAAGCAGGCCACATTTCGGGTGGTGTCACTAGCTGAGTCATGGATGGACCGACAGGAGGCTGCGTCTTTGCCTTGATGGTAATCGATTGACTTCCGGTTATTGGAGAAACGGATGGCAGAATGGGCGCAACTGAAACAGGGTTGATTTCCACAGCTTTGGGACTGGCAGAAGATGCAGGAGGAGAAATGAGAGAAGGTGTGACTGGAGTGATGGAAGAAATTGCTGGTGACTCCAGTGGAGTGGATACACTCGAAGTAGAGATGGGCATACTCGAGGTTGCTTCAAAGAAATAACCCTTTCCAGTTTTAAGTTTGAGAGCAGTTGAAGAGTGGTGAATGCGCTCAGAAATGTTGGGAATATCCTGAAGTATGTATGTCGGCGAGGTGATGGCAGAGTTGGAAAACACTGGCTGTGGTGTTGAAGGTGGTGCCACTGTTGCAGCCATTGTGGAGACAGAAACGACCGATGGTGATAAAGAGCTAGTCACTGCAGCTGAGATCGCTGTAACGGTGGTGTTCACAGCCGAAACGGCGGCTGACTGAATGGAAGTAGTAGTGACTTGCTCCACATTGCCAGTAGAGTGAATGACACTGGATGGCGGCGGTTCAACATATTCAGCGCCTATTCTGCTGGAAGTCGGACTGGAAGAGGCCATCTTCGGAAGTGCCACCGCCTGAGCGCTACCTTCTTCAGACAGGCTGGACTGCTGGCGCTCAATGATTTCACATTCCTCTGAGCTGGCACTTGCAGACAGGACTCCTTCGCCAGGAGCAGTTGGTGTTTGAGCCTGTGGTGGTATTAGAAGCTCAGTGTGCTCCATGGAATCGGTCGACTTTTTAGGCGTTCGGGCAGCAGGAAGAGGCGATGTTACTGGAGTAATGTGGCCAACTGATCGAGGCTGCTGCGAAACAGTGCCCTCCAGCGATGAAGTCGAAGCTGAACCCTCAGGCCCATCAGTAGCTGCAACCCCTCGAGAGCGAGTGACTCGATAAGGACGCGTAGCGCTGTTCTTGGGATCTACAAAAATAAACACAAACGTTAGTACTGGTGGACAATTTTTAAAAACAACTTTGCTCTTACCATCCGACTCTTCAGACATATCGCCGGAAGCATGTGATGCGCTGACAGTGTCATCGCTCTTTCGATATGAACGGGTAATTCGCTTTGATGCGTTTGCCTTCTCATCGGCCTTTGTCTTGATGACATCCTCAATGGTGTCCTCGATGGTTGTCTTTGGAACTTGCGACATAAGGCGAGCCGATTTCCGAACACCCTTGATCGAATTGGTGCTATCGGAGAGAATGCTTCCCGCTGTGCCCGAGGAGTTGGACATTCCGTCGTTTGATTTACTGTCCTCAATATGCAAGTTCTTTGCAGTTTTGCCAGCAGTAGGCTCCATAGCACCGGTAAAATCTTCCTGTCCGTCCTTGAGACGAATGATCATCTTCATGCCTCCGTGTTTGCCGTGCTGGTTCATCTCCGAGACATACTCCTTGCCAGTGACTGGACTGGTGTTATCGCCTAAGATACCGCTGGTCGCACCTGCAGATGCCTCCAGTGCCGGCTGCACTGCTGACGCGGCTGAGATGGTAATTTCAGACGGTAGTGCCGCCGTTTTGTTTGGCGAAATGCACGACTCGAAAGTAGTCTGATGTTGCTGCTGCATCGGAGGTGGCTCAGAGTGACGCTTATCCTCAGATGTCAAAAAGTGAGTATTCAAAGGAACTGGCTCATCTTCATCCGATTCACGAAACTCAAAGACATCAAAGTTACTGGCAGGCTTATTTGGTCGAACTTCGCCAGAGCTGGTCGAGTTGAGCACATGAAGCTGCTTGTCCTTTTTAGATTTGTCGTCCTCAAGAATTTTAATGTGCTCGACAACATTTCCTAAGTTCTTCTTCTTGCGACCTCGCTTCGACTTTTTAACGCCGCCTGCGTCCTCCTCGACTTGCTCTTGCTCTTTGGTGGCCTGTGATGTTGGTGGCTCATCCAGTGATAAGTCGGCGTCATCCAAGTCTAAAACGGTGTTCGAATTGGCCACTGTAGCAGCGGCGGCAGCAGAGCGGACACTTCGGCGGATGCCGTAACTGAGTTGCTGCTGTTGTTGTTGCAGCTGCAGTTTAGCCGCACCGCGTTTTCCTTGTGAGCCGGGAGAAATGTCCGAGGTGGTGGTGGTAGAGGAAGTGTTGGAGTTTGATGTCGGCGAAAGCAAGAGGTTACCCGAGCTACAGGTCAGGTTAGAGGTGTTGATGGAAAGACTGGCCATCTGACTGTGAGTCTCAAGGTCGCCATCGCTTCGCGGAGAGTGCAATGAGGTGTCAGAGAGTTTGCGATTTTTAGGCTTTCGCCCGCGCTTCGACTTTGGTGGAACGCTTTCACATTCAGGTTCGCTTTCTTCGCTTACCAGCTTAACACTGGTACTCTTAGTTTCACTGATGGTGGATGCAGGTGGTGGTGGTGGTGGAACCGTGGTCTCCTCGATGGTTACTGTTGGCAAATCTGATGTCGATGCCTTCATGACACTTTCATTGAACAGCTCCGAAACGCTCTCCTCCTCGATTTCAGTTTTATCAGAGATGACACTTTCCGAACAAGAATCTCGCTTATCTTCAGCGAGCTGAGCACTGAGCACGTCGGTGAAAGACAGCTCATTTGTGATGACAGGAGAAGTGCTCTTCTTTTCCGGCAGAGAGACGTCACTGTGCACTGATCTAGGAGAGAGAAAGTTGGCAAAGGGCGATTTCATGGGCTCTGACTTGTCCGAGTCGGTAGATCGAGTTCTCTCTTTGATGGATATCGTCTCCGATTGATTCTTATGGTCGACAAAGGAAGTGAGAATCGGCATGCTCATGTGTAGATCGATAGTTCGTTTTTCACTTCTCTCAAGCGGCTTAACCACCACTTCTTCAGATTTGAAAGGATCAACTTTCAGTGGATCAACCAGCTTGGCATTCTCCTTAAGTGAGTCTTTGATGGAGTCCTTAATTATGTCAGCAATGGAGGCCGTCGATGGCTTGGGCAAACAGATGGACGGCTCAAAACCAAACGGCTTCAAGTTGCCAAACGTCGGCGTCATTCCGATGGTTGAAATCAAAGGCTTTTTAATTTCAGTCTGCGATGGCGGCCGCAGCTCTGAATCGTCAGCCAGTGATTTTTCAATGTTTTCGTCAACAATCGTCAGTGACTGCTCATCGTCGTCCTCATCATTGAACATCAACTCGGGAGCATCCTTAATTGGCTGATCTTTGTGCTCCGTTTGCGGGCAAGGCATCTCAATTTTTCTCAGCGCTGCACTAAGTTCGTTTTCGTCCACTGTGATGTCAGGGGCGCCGATGATGGAAGGCAAAACATTGGCAGAATTAGAAACGACGATCGCCTGAGAGCTCGGTGTTGTGAGCAATGATTCAGTTCGGTGGCCGTCACTACTGCTACGAGATGAAAAGATGTTCATGAAGCTAGGCACGATCTCCTCCGAGTGTGTCTGGTCGATGGACGAGCGGTCGTGAGCTCCAGACTCAGCATGACTAGGCTCTTCCATGTCCTGCAGGAGGGCAGCCACAGCCAGGTCATCCTCAGTTTTTCGTTGATTATCCACCTCCACCTGCGGTGAGATAGCTTTGCTGGTGCTGCATTCAGTTTCGGCAGGGATAAGCGAAGTTGCTCCATCCTCGGAAGGCACTTTGAGCACGTTTCGGGTAAAACTGGTGGCAGGCTCATCAACCGATTGCTGCTCCTCGAGGTTGCCGGCAAATAGAGGAAATGGCGGCATTGATTCAAACGTTTTGGGCTTGATTTGATGGTGGTGGTGTTCATGGGCGTCCTTTGATTCAAGCTCCTTTTGAAGTTTAAGCGATTGAATTGCGGCCTCCTCATCGTAGCACCGCTGGGACGCTGGCGTGAAGAAGGTCGGGATGTTATTTGAATCGAGCGTACTGCATTCAGTCGAAAATGTTGGAACTAACTGCGGCAACAGGGAAAGGTCGGTCTGGCGCAAAGGCTTTGATGAGGAGTTGAGTGGCGAACTAGAGCCTGAGAGGTTGGAATCATAGGAATCGTTGTTCTTTGCGTCGTTGTTCATCCACTCCTCCAACTTCTTGGCATCGTTTATCAGCTCTTCGTCCAGACGACTGTCCGATGATGAGCCGTCATCACAGGTCCGATGCACAAGTCCGAGGTCTTCGGTGTACGAGGAGGACCGTGAGCTCGACACTGCTTCCGGAGTTTTAGGCGNAGACGACTGTCCGATGATGAGCCGTCATCACAGGTCCGATGCACAAGTCCTAGGTCTTCGGTGTACGATGAGGACCGTGAGCTCGACACTGCTTCCGGAGTTTTAGGCGGTGTAGTGACCTTTAGCTGAATTGCAGTTGTGTTGACCGAAGTACTGCTCGGAAGAAGAAGTGACTTAAAGTCAGTCTTTGGAGGAGGTTGAGAGGTGCGAGTCGGGGAAATAAGTATCGCTTCGCCATCATTCGATGAAGAGTCGAGCAAACTAGAACGATAATCTTTGTCCTTTTTGTCGCTGCTCTTTTTCGAGTCGCTGCTCTCCGAGTCTTTACGAGACTTTTCGCGATCCTTATTTTTGGACGACTTTTTCCTTTTTCTATTCAAATCCTTGCTCTCTTCCTCCTTTTTAGAGTGGCTGTGCTGCTTCTGAATCTTTGAAGACAAGTAAGCATTATTCTTTGTAGGCGATCGGTCACCAGCTCTTTTCTCCTTTTCAATGACCTTTTCAGCTTTCTCTTTAGTAGCAAAGTGCCTCTCCATTTGATTGTTCGCCTTGTTGTCCTTCTCCTTGGCACATTGCTCTTTAGAGACTAGCAAGTCCTTGTCATTGTGACGATGCGCCGATTTTTCATTTGAGGAGTGCGGCTTGAGAATTGTGTGAGATCGCATATCGCCGTCCAAGCCTGGGAGAGTGGCCTTGTGACCAGAAACCGCCTTTTTAATCGGAATATCCTCGGATTCAGAGGAATCAGACGATCCGTCTTCAGATGAAAGCAGACTCGTTTGCTTGTGGCGACTCTGTTCAGATGTTCGAGATTTGCCATCGTCCTTGTTGTATCCAAACAGTCGTTTCTCCTTTGACAACTGTTTCTCCTTGATCTTTTTCTTCTTTCTCTTGGCCATTTGCAGCATTTTACTGTGAGCTTCGTCATCGCTTCTAGGCCGCTTTTCCCTCTCCTTTTCCTTTTCTTTATCAGCTCTGATATCACGTTTGACTTCGGCTTCGCGTTCCTTTTCCTTTCGTTCGGCTTTCATCTTTTTGATCTTTTGAAGTTCCCTTTCCTTTTCCTGCTCTTTAGTCAACTTTTCGTGCATATCAGGTTTGTCGACCTGCTTCTCTTTGACAGGAGAACCAATATCACTGGGACGCTCTTTATCCTTCTTAATGATTTTGTTGTTGTTCTTTTTCTTTAAAGAAGAGGCAGCAGCCGCCCGTTTCAGCTCATTTTCAGACGAATCAGAGAGTTCCAGAAGCTTTTTGGCATATTTGTTGGCACGTTTGGGCTCATCTTCCTCCTTGGCGGGCGGTTTTGTGCTTTCCACCTCAGAATCAGTGTCCTCAACAATGCCCTTTTTGAGCTTCTTTCTCGGCGGCAAATCATCATCATTGTCATCGTCCTCGTCAGCGCCGTCGTTGTCATTATCCTCGTTCTCGTCCTCGTCATCATCATCGTCGTCGTCGTCATCATCAGACATCCGAAAAGTGGAACTCTTTGACCTTTGGCCATGTTTCACAGACTTTTTCTTCTGTCGTCGACCACTGTCCGAATCAGAGTCAGAATCAGAGCTACTCGAATCATCTGAGCTAGAAGAATAGCTGGTGTCGATCTTCTTGCCCTTTCCTTTAGATTGATTCGTTTTCGAGCTTTTGCCTTCACTGCTAGTCGTCGTACTAGCCTTTTGGTCTCTTTGTGAGCGTTGTTTCACCTTGTCGTACATGGAAAAGTAATATGGCTCTTCAGAATCGGCAATACTCATTAAAATTGCGCGAAGATCGTCGTCCATCGAGAAGTCCTTTTGCTTTTTGTATTTTTTCTTTTTGTCCTTTTCAGAGCTTCGGTCTTTGTCTCGGCTCTTTTCCTTGTCTTTCTCGTTAGACTTTTTATCAGATCTTTCCGGGGCCTTTTGTCGCAACAGCTCCTTATTTTTGTCCTTGGATCCACCAGACTCTTTGAGATCTTTTTCGCGCTGCTTTTCCTTTTCCCGCTTCTTCTTTTCCTTTTCTTTGAGCAAATTCTTTTCCATCTTTCGCTCAATCTTTTCCTTGTCTTTGGAGCTGTGATTGCTCAGCGAGGAATGGCCGTCATTTGATTTCTCCTTGTGCTTTTCTGATTTGTGAGAAGAAGATGCGTCAGAGGATTTTGATTTGTGATCCTTGTGGTCATCTTTGTGATCGCGATCTTTGTTAGAATGCTTCGAGTGTTCCGCCCCACTAGACTTTTCTCGGTGGTGATCGCTGTCTACGTGGTTTGATGTATGATCCGACTCTCCTGAATGTTTATGCTCTTTTCTGGAGGCTGGAATCTCTGGCTTAGAGCTGCTTTCAGACTTGTGGGTTTTAAAGAAATCAGGCTTTTGAGCACTGTGCTTAGTAATGGAGTCTTTTCGGGAACTTGCGGCAGTCGCTTCGTGCTTGGCTGATGATGCTGCCACCGGTTGATTGCTGTCCTTTTTGCTCACTTCTTTGCTGGTCATGACACTTTTACTAGAGCTTCCCAAATCAGTTTTGCTTTTGCCATCAGATGATTTGCCTGATGCAGTGGCGGTGCTGTTTGATGTCGAATGCGAGCTTTCCTTTTTGTTGGATGGAAATGCATTGCGAGAGAGGGAAGAAGTAGTAGTGGTAGTGGTCGTTGAATTTGAGGCATTTGTAGTTGTTGGAATCGAAGAGGATCGATGAAACTGCGGAAACATCGAATTGGAAGCAGAACGGACCGGTGCAGAGTTGGGAGTGCCTGGAGTTGCAGTTGAGGTAGAGCCAGAAAGAGACGATTCCTTTTTCAAAGAATTTACTCGACTTGAATCGGACATTTTACGATTCACTGAGCTGCTCAAAGAGGGGTGGGCATTGGAAGACGAGGAGGAGGAGGAGGAAGAGGAGGAGGAAGTAGTCGTCGTAGTTGTACTAGTAGTTGTCGTGGAGGTGTACAAAGTGTGGTGATGATGGTGAGGCTGGTGATTGAAATGGTGTGCCGACGCTGCTCCACTGTGATGAGTCAATGTTCCAGAGGCAGTGCTAGAGGTGGGTGTTTTTAGCATAGACACCTCGTTGGTGGCCTTTTCAGTAGCACTGCTTTTAGAAGACGATATCTGGTTGATAAGTGAAGCTGAAGATTCGTGTTTACTGCCCGACGAGCTGATCGGTTTTGCTGATCTAAACAAGTTGGGGGCTGTTTTAGTTTTGGGCGATAACATGACACTCTCCAAGTCATTGTCTTTTCTGGACTCGTTGATGTGCTCCAGCCGTTTGGCGTCCTGGTCAAAGGCGGACGACTTTGAAAGCAAGTTCTTAAAGATTTCCGAAGACTCGCTCTCAGTTGAGTTGTTCAGCTGCACCGTTGAGCTGTTGTTGGTACTGCTTTGACTCTTTTTCTTAATATTGTACTTGCTGTAATCAATAGTCGGTGTCTTTTCCATTCTCATGCTTGAGAAGGACGTCATAACGGCAGAGGAAGCAATTTTCTCGTCAAGCGCTTTGATTTGATCATCTAGGCTACTTGTGCGCAGTGGAGACACATCATCCGGATCAGACACATCATCCAGGTCATTGGGTCTCTTTGAGTCAATGCTGTTGGTGTCGGTGGAAAGTCGATCCCTGGAAAGGCGACTTTTTGGCACGGGTGAATGACTGCCCAGTGGGCTCATGATGGTGTTGCAGCTTTTGGGTGATGTGCTTGTCGGAGTGAACGGTGGAATGCTAATGTGATTGCCCGGCATGACGATGCTTGGCGTGGCAGAGCTGATGGGGGTGGTGGTAGTTGTAGAGGTGGCTGTTGTCAGCAAAGTGTTTGAGCTAGGAGGAACAACACTTGAAGAGTTGGAAAGTGAGCTATTGTCATTTTTCGGAGGATTGCTCCAAAACTCTTTAAGAAATAGCGGCACTTTGTAGAGCATCATATGGGTAGGGGCGTCCGATGAAGGTGGTGATGACAGGTCATCCAATGCTTTAGATTTGCTGAGATCATTATCACAACTCGTTCGGGAAGTGCTGTACTTGCGAGTACTGTGACCAGTTTCCCTTCTCGGGTCTGGATCGGGATTGACGAGAGAACATGTCAGATCGACCACTTTCATTATGCCCGTGTCCAACTTTGCAAGAGGCTTTGGTTTATAAGCACTGCCATTAGTTGGAGTTGGGGCACAGCTCCCCGATGAGATGGATGGCTTCCGGGTGACCGGGGCAGCAGCAGCAGGAGCCACAACAGACGAGCTCTTTGGCTCTTGAAGCAAATTTTTAAATATTGCCTGAAAAGGGAGTTCGTCTGTTTCACTGGAAATATTGTCCAGCAGCTCTTTTAGTTCCTTGGTTTTGAGATCAATTACCCCATTGTTGCCGGTGGAAGCAACCAGTGAATTGGGAATCAAACTGCTGGAGGAGCTGCTGCTGCTGGAACGTCGTTTTAGCGTGTCGACGCTCACCGGAGGAATCGCGTCTCGCTGTTTGAGCCGCAGCCCATTCACCTCCACAGCATCCAAGCTCTTTGATGGGCAAAGCCGAGGTGGCTCTACCAGGGTTGTAGATTTGAGTGGAGTGGTTGGTGGAACGGGTGCTGTTTGACTCGCAGACACGCTCGAAGAAGCGGAGATGTTGTTGTTGTTGATGATGATAGTGCTGCTGCCCGCAGGAGCCAAAGTAGGCTCGATGCAGGCCATTAACCGTTTCTTTCGCTCTTGGACAGTTCCAAGAACCGAATCATCATCACTCTCCAGAGTGCTGTGTTTCCGCTTAAGAGTCTCACTTCGATTTTGATATGTCAAACTGGCAGACGGAGATGAGTTGGTTCGGTGCAAAGCTGACTCTCTGCTTCGGTAGTATTCACGACTGTGCTCACGCGTTGAGCTCGTTCCAGCAAAAAGGCCATCGTTGGACTCGGATATCGGCTCCTGAATGCGACTCCGGGGCGGAACTTCACCAGAGGGGTAGTCGCGGTAGTGCGCACTGTCCCTGTCCTCTGTCGACTTTCGCCGCCAGCTACCAATAGAGTTGTCCAGTTTGCTCACACTGTGCAATGACAACTCATGCTGAGTGTCGCCATCATGGAAAGAATGACCACTGGCGCGAGGACTAGTGACTGGACTAATGGAAGTACGGTCCAAGTAGTAGCTGGTGGCCTTTGAATCACGCACTGGACTTCGACTGTTACTGCTAGTACTGCTGCCGCTGCTCGCCAGGCCCGACTTTCGAAACGATGAATGCGTGGGTGGCAAAGGAGGCGAGTCTCGACCTGACTTGTGGTAGGTCTTGTGCGAGTTTAGCCGCCTCAGCGACCCGTGCGATCCATCCTCGTGGCCCTTGATGTCCTCCAGATTTGATGACCTAGCTGATCGACTGCTGCTGGCAAAGCCGTCTGCATCCGACTTGCTGGACGAGTTGCCATACGGGCCGTAGGGACTCGAGTCTCTCCTCACTTTAGGACTGTTCTCTGAAATGTAGTTTTCAGAGATGTGGTGAGAGCGGTACCGAGATGAAGATGAAGACTCGCGCTTTGAAGAGGAGCTCAGGTGCGAGTCTTCGCCGACATCATCAATATCTTCGTTCTCGTAGCGGTACGGTCGTGAAGACGTTCTGCTGCTCGACTCGTGATGGTAATCGTATTTGGAGCTCTTTCCGTTCCCCGAACTGCTGGAGAATCGGCTAAAGGTACTCAAGGTGGCAGGCGACGAGGAGGGTGACTGGGAGCGTTGCCTGCTGGCAGAATACGACGAGCTGGTGCCGCTGTTTGACCGCAACAACTGAGAAGGTATCGAGCTGGAAGATGACCTCGACGATGACTGGTGATGGTGGTAGAGGCTCCGACTGCGACTCGACTCGTACGATCCTCTATCCTCGTAGTCGAGACTGCCGGTGCTGTTGTTGCCCGTCCAGCTGGAGGTGCTGGAACGTGACGCTCGGTGAGTCGCATCTTCAGATTTGACAGAGTGTTTGCCGATGAAAAAGTTTTGAAAATCGCGACTGGCAAAATCGACCATTACTTTTCGACCATTGATGGGCTTATTATGCAATTCCTCAATTGCTTTGCGAGCTTCGTCACATGTGTCGAAAAAGATGAGCCACGACTTTCTATCGGCAGATGATATTGAATTCTTGATGTTCCCGTACCTATTTAGTTGAGTGTGAACCTTATCACGGTCAGTGAAAGCTCGATCTTTGCTGTCATCTTTGTTATCACATAGCCAGACGCAGCTACTGGGAAAGCTTTTCCCAAAACCGCACTTTAGCCTGGTGCTGCCCATTAGTTCGCCGTCATATTTTCTCATTGCTTTGACAACGCTGGAAATGTCGGTGAACTGGATGAAAGCATATGGCGTATGCTGCGTACTCTTGATGTCAATTTCCTGTGTAAGCACAAGAAAAATGAATCAATTAATCACACAAAAGTGAAAAAAATCAGTGTACTTACCAAGATTTCGCCAAATTGGTTGAACTTGTTTGTCAAATCCGATTTGGAGATGTCTTTGTCGAGATTGCCAACAAACAGCGTCCTTGTAGCACGAGGGTGATATTCATCAATTTCAGAAGGATCCACTGCAAACTTGTGAGATGTCAGTGTCGTCGTTGGCTCATTCTCTTCATTTGGTTCGGCAGTAGGATCAATGTACAAGACTGCATCAATTTGATTACCGAAAAACTGCTTGTTCTACAAAGTTGAAAAAGAGTTTATTTTTGGTTTCTTAAATCGCTAAAATGTTACCTTTGATTCAATCAACGCCTTTTCAGCTTGTTCTGGCTTTCTGAAAACAACGATAGCATGTCTGTTTACGCCTTCGTCGTAAAACTTGACACTGACAATGCTACCGTACTTTTTATACTCGTGAAATAGTCCATCTTGAAGATTGCTCTCTAAAAAATGTAAAAAAGTGTCAGTCAAGTTGTTGAAGGTGTTTTCAGTTTTGCTAAAAACATACGAGTGGACCGAGTTGGAAAGTTGCGAACAAGTATCGAGCACGACGACGACGACGATGTCTTTAGATCATCTCGGTCATTTGAGTGGGATGACGAAGATGAAAGGTTGTCCTGAGATGAAGATGCACCGGGCATGTTTTGATATGAAGCAGAAGACGTTCCATGATGACTGGAAGAGGCGTTCACTGCAGGCTCATGACTGGGGAATACAAGGCGTGAAAACGAGTTGCCATTTAGAAACTGTCACTTGCTTACCCTTCAGTATCAGGATGGTTGTTTATTCCTGTACTGCTGGAGACATTACGAGTACCACTGCTACTGCTAGTTGCATTGCCGACATAGGAAGCCCTACTGCTGACGGATGACTCTCTAGAGGACCGATTCCTTGAAGAATACGAGGGCGATTCGTCGTCGTGATATGAAATATTGCGACTCTTGAGGTAACTAGAGCTGTCGCGGCTATCTAGATTGCTGACGCAATTGCGATCTCTAGACTCGTGCCTGTCGTCGGGTATTCTGTAAAACATGGAAAAATGAAAAAATGAAAATGTGTTAGTAAAGAAGAAAAAGGAATCAAGATGAGTAGAGTCAACAATCTACTAAAAAGTTGATGAACCTGGTCACACCGTACTCTTTAAAACTGTTTTGGTGTAATAATGAAGAAACGCTGCGCATTATGGTTTATTCGTAACTTAAGACCTTTTGTGATTACATTGAATGTTGAGCATAGGCCAACATTGAACTTGGGAAAATTTTTGAAAATCATATCTTTCGCCGAATAGATTGGCGATCTTGATATCAAAAGGAATCAGTTGCGCATCATTGTGAAAAAAAACATGATTTTGTTTACAGCTGAAAAAGAGAAAGAGAGAGAGAGCATTTCATCGGTCGCCCTTCGTAGATGCAGTGACACTTTTTGCTTTCGAACTTTTGACTTGAAAAAACTGATTATCATTTCAAAATGCAGACTCCAAAACGAAAGACACGCCTGCTGCTTTTTTGGGTAGCGTTTCCAAGCAGGTAAGAGACAGCTGCGCCCTTGGTGCCATCAATCACACTGAATAAAGAGCAGGACGATCAAGTCCCCACCACCAGAACTCGGGTGTGGTTGAAGAGACGGTGGGACGCTGGTGAGCCAGCACCGCAAACCCAATTACTAATATCGGCCACTGTAATCAGAATATACGTCAACGCAAACTAAGGCGCCATCGGCTCATGCGAGATAAATTAAAATTCACCGAGCACAGCACAACACACACACTTGGCAGTGCTGAAAGGCGAAACTCTATTGCAAATCTGCAAAAAAGCTGGCCTTTACACAGTGTCGCCATGTTCAAGGCCGTGGAGTTCAATGTTCGGACGGCAGGACCACTGTGCAGGGGAATGAAAGGACACATATTGGCAGAGTTTTTTTGTCGTCCAGTTTGAATCGACACAGATCAGCGCCAGTGACTCCTGCATAGCACGGAAACGAGTCAGCTGTAAACCTTTCTTTTGCAACCACTACAACTGATCGTTCCGATGATTGAAAGAGCCTGTGCACGCCACAAACTAACCAGTGTGTGTTTAACCAGAAAATGGTCAGTTGAGTTGAGCCGAATGACCAGCGCCAGCATGGACCACAATTTGTGGAGCGAGAGCAGGCAGCACCCCGTCCACCGTCGTTGCTTCTCGTTAGTGACCTCTGGTCACATTAATATGTATGAAGCGGCACTGACTAATAGGGGCACGTTTGGAATCGGCATACAAACAGAGAAGGAGAATCGATTACTGTGGTGGTGGCTGTGTGACATCCTTCCACAGCCACCACCACAACTACGACACAGTCAGTGAGTGAGGTACATGTGTGTTGGTGCCGAGCAATTACCAGTGGCGGATCATGCTAGTGTGATTTATGTGGCATGCTCGCCAACAATGGACGTGGACCGGCTGATAAGGCCTGGCAGAATGTGCTGGAAAAGTGAGCACTACCACTGCACTGTGATCCACCTTTCTGTTGAAACAATCCTCTCCAGTGACGGTAGAAAAAGAGCACAACTTTGGAATATGAAAAGTATGCAAATATGAAAGCAAAGCCAAACAGACTCGCAGGTGCACTGCTATGACATTCAATTGAATTGAGCAAGCGGCGATCGATGGCAGTGCATAGGAATTGGTGAATGAATTACGCAGTGAAGCTATCGAGTGCAATCAATGACAGCACAGCGGCTGTGAAACTGATTGTCATTACTTGGCGTGCACTGAGCAATTACCAGCAGCTCCAGCAGGCACTTTTAGCTGAGTACCCTAGTGCTGAAGAAGCAGGAGCAGGTGAAGACGTTTTGACACTGCCTGCGACAATGTTACTAAACTTTGAAGGCAATTTACATAATTCTCCAATTGACAGCAAGCGCAAGTTACAGATTCAGCATTTCTACAGTCTCGACAGTCATTAGGCAGCATTTTCTTTTACTTGGAGAGTAGTTTCAAGAGTTTTTGTGAAAAGGCAATTGGGCCCAAAGTGGCATTTTGGTTTGGTGAGTGAGTCAATTAATAGCATTGGTGATTAGGAGGAAAAGAACGTGAATAAAAAACATTGCCAATTTAACTACCGAAGCAAAAGACTAAGCAAAATAATCACAATGAAAAATTATTTGTGTAGAAATGCGGAAGCAAAAGATGGAGCTGCCACTAAAAAGGGACTACTACTCCTTCCAAGCAAGTCGAATGCCTCGTTTGTGTCAAATTAATTAATGTATTGATCCACAATGAAAGACGATCTGGGCGCCAGCTGAAACCTGAGTAAAGCCGAGCAGTATTTACAGCATTGCAACAACTGAGAGGTAGGCAGAAAGCAGTTGGAGGACAAAGACGATTCAAGTTTCACGCCAAAAGAAACGTTTCGCCCCAGTGCAATTCGAGAAGTGAATTTGGACTAATTGAATATACTGCACAGTAGTGAAGCACTTTCTTTTGATAACTAGCTTTTTCTCTACTAAATAAATCCACAGCATGCGTGGTTAAAAATGGGCAAACTACAAGAAGCAAAATTTAACAATCAATTTTACTTTTCTATAAAGCAAATGCCTGTTTATCAAGCTGAAACCATCTGAAAAGTGTACACCATATACTGCTAGTCATTAGGCATCACTGATGTGTACCTACTGGACCATTTTCAGTAAAAACAATTTGCAAAAACTTTCAAGCAAAAAAGGCAGACAGCAGTGGAATAAAGTTTTTCTTTTGAATAAAACAGTGGCCATTTTGCTAATTGAAGTTCTACTGCATAAAAAGGGAAAATAAAACGCGCTGAAGATAAGCGGCGAGAACAATACCTAAAATGAAACAACGCAGATAATGGTGCAGCTTTTTAGAAATGCCATGTTATGTCTGTATCTAAATTCTCTCAAAACGGACATTGCAAATCAAATTAGAAACCAGCAGCGAAATGGTGGCACTGAGCTGTCTAGGCTATCTTGGCCGACTGTAAGTAACACTGCCGGCAGGTGAGGAAACCAAACGGCGGCAAGCTTGATTAATGGAAGTAACACTTTTTCAAGTAGAGAATCGACAAACAAAAAAAGTGCTACAAGAGCAAGGGAAGGAAAACAGCAGAAAAAGCTAGAAAGAAAAAATGAGGCTGGCGTCGGTGCCAAAGTGAAAGCGATCGCTTTTCTCTCTTTTGGCACAATTTAGGTCAAGACTTGTGATGTGCGATCAAATTGAGTGGCTTGGCTCTTTTTTTCCTTTTTCTCTTTGCTTGTGTTTGCGTGCTCAAGTTTGTCCAAGTCTATAGCCTTGGCAACAAAAGTTGAACTCTGCCGTCGAGCAAGCTCTTTAGAAGTCGCCAAACAAATGCAAAGCCAAATAAGTGCATTGACAGAGATAGAGAGAAGGCTGTGGCGGCAAGTGACTTGTAGAGAAAAAACGAGAAACAGACAAACTCACTGAAAATGAGACAAGAAAAGGCGTCATGAAAATTGACACAGTTAAACGGTGCGTTAATTCTGTGGGCTGCAATTGGCCCATTAACTAGAAGGTATATCAAGAACATGTTGTACCCTGTGCACTGCAGCAACTAGTCATTTTGGGTGCATCGTTGATCAAATTAAAGAGTTACAAGCATAGGTGTAGAGAAAAAACGGTTTATTTTTAGAATGAGACAGGTACACCATACTAAACAGACGCATGGGTGTGCAATATCCTGTTGACTAGACAAAAAGCCTTCTACAAACAGAAAATTTCCAAGTGCGTTCCAGTATTGAGCATCAAATTGCAGCTGTTTACTACAGGAGCTCCACTTGTGCCATCGATTGAGCCTTTGTGACCAACGCAATCCTTTGTAGTAGTAGCAGCAGGCATGATGCCAGTGCACAGCCACTCACCCAGCTACTCGCACTCAATTTGCTGGCAAACACGTACTGGGCAAACACCATAGGAAAAATGCAAACAGGCGAGAAATTGGACACATTCAGTGAAGACTTGGAAAGTTGGCATCACACAGACACTCTGTGCCAGCATTCTTGCAAATCAAACGTGGTTGCTCTAATTACAAGCGACGGAGAGGAAGCTGGAGAAAGAAAAGCCACAACAGCTACAGCAGCGCTGGATCGATTCAGGGTAGGAGAATGGAGCAGCACGCAACTTAATCAAGCTTAATGTGGCAGCCGTAAATAGCAACGAGTCAAATAATGGACGCAATCAAGTACCAATAAAGTGGATAGTGCAGCCATCAGCTACGCCAGTTGGCAATTTGGTCGTCCTGGCAACCACACACACACAAACTGGGAGAGACACACAGAATAATTGACTGTCATTGGTGCGACAAAGGCCATTTCAGAGGAGGGGAAGAAAAGAGACGCAAATGAGAGAGAGAGAGAGAAGATGGCGTCTGCCAAATTATGCACATACAAAGTAGCGTAGTAGCCCTTGGACAGTGGCACCAATTGCTGCCTGTTTTCATGTACGACCAATGGCCGGTCTATTAAGGACACTGGCGAGAGTGTGTGTATGCTGAACGGCAGGAAAAACAACCAGAGAAAACAACACTTTTATTTGAATAAAGCTAAACTTGTGCTAGACTAAACTTGCGCAACTGTTTGGTGGCTCGATGAAGAACCACAATAATCGGCACTTGGCGCCACCAAAAGAAGCTTGTAATTAGTAAAGAGAACAGGCAATGACAGTAAAGTTTGCTCGTGCGACAAGCTGTGCGTGGTGCACCAAATGGAAGACTTTGATTGCAATTAGTAGCTCCGTAGGCACTGAAGTGTGCTTGTCTGATCAATTGGACAATCTCTATCGATTGAGGCAGTGTCGATTAAAGTTCGATTCGGTCTGAGGCACTACTACTAAAGGGATGAATAATTATTACTGAGCAGACGAAATGATGATGGCGATTCATGCTTACGATTATAATAGACAGTTGACAACAATGTCTTCAATGTTCATGTGCAGAAGAACGATAAATCATCAGAAGAATGAAGAATGCCACCAACACCACTAACTTTATCGCGACACTGCCCTTCTCTTGTTAT